CTAACAGTAGGTACTCACTATTAGCCATTAGCCCATGTTCATAATATCCCGTCCGCTCAATGAAATTCAAACACGTAGCGAATGTCAGAGAGGCTGAAGAGGGGATACGTGCAGGTGTCGAAGATATGCTCACCGAGTCGTGGCCAGAGGGTAGGAACCTTACATTAGAGCCTTATACAGTCCCCAATGTACCATTAGTTATCCATTTAACGCGGTGCCATCGCAGTATAGACGGTTACTTACCTATAGCCTGCGTTTGATTCGTCGCCGTGCACTGGTTGATGTCCATAAGCCTTGAATATTTCCCATGGGTTGCGAGAAATATCAGAACATTGCGAGCGAGATATACGGCTGAATCAGCCCAGTGGAATAGCTGGCACGGGTGACGAGGTCAGGTTCGAAGGCGCCATGACGGCAGGAAGCATGTATTCGGACAGAACGCGGACGGCGCTGGTGGCGCGAGCTCTCATCTACATTCCTCTCATGAACTCTGATGTCGACATGTCTACGCTCGCTACGTGCACGTTCATACATATTGACGTTCGCGCTTCTCTCGCTGCTACGACGTATTCGTATTTGGAAGGGCTATACGATTGCTCGGAAGCCGGTGGATTAACATGCGGTAGGATGACGGGTGGGATCCAAGTACACATGCAATGCGGTTGCAACGATTACGCTGCAGTTCTTCCTCTTCTTCTGTAAGTCTTCTGTCATTAAAGCCTTATTTCTTCAATCTCTGCCTGCCCCGTTGCTCGAAGTGCAATTGTTTTACTGTTTCATTCACTTGCTATCCATTGGTATACCTCTGTCGTCCTTGATGTTATTATGCTAGCTTTCACCCAGCTACCATCTTCTTTGGCGGTTTTATTATTGTATCATTCTCTTCATAGCTTCCTCCTGTGTCGCTTCCCCTTGGATCAACACCGGACAGCTATCCAAGAGTTCGCTCTTCCCTTAGTCTCAACTAGCTATAGGTTGCAACAAGGCTCACATTCATTACAGGTACGTAGGTCAATGCAATCTGTATACCTTCCTCCTGCTGTTCCCTCTGTTTCTATCTTTTACACCACCCCTTCCGTTCACTATATTGCCTCCTTCCCAAGGTGGGTCATTCCGTGTAGGACTATTGCTTGATGATACCTCCATGAAATGCAGCTGGAACGTGACTGTGTACCTGACCCTATGTGAGTATCTGGCCTGGTCTGGGTTGCTACTGCTGATAGTATTGATTTTGCTCCATGTATGCTGGAACATGGGTGAATATTGGTGTTACATATACAGGGTAAGTGTGTATCAAGCATTTCCTATATGATACAACACATATTACTAGTATACAATGGCCATTGCTGCTGCCGCCGATGGGCGCGACGAGCTCGGGGTCTATGGCGATCGCGACACTCGATAGCAGCACTCAATTGACAGCACTGATATGTCCAGTCAATGTCACAAATTTTCTGTATTTAATGAGATTTATTGTACATTTTTATGACTATATATAAGCAAGAAGTCGTGCTCGTCGTTGTTGCCGACGACGACGGGTCGGTGGACAGCGACAGAGGCGGGATGCGCCGACGAACGCGGCAGTGACATGGCGGGACACGTGGGCAGCATCTTAGGGTTGGGGTCTATTACCAGACCCTTACGAGAGTTGGCCCGGGCAGCAGTGTGGTCGTCGGGGGAGACAGCAAGGGCGGGGATGTGGGCGACAGAGGGCAGCGGTTATTATACACGCTGGGCAGTGCTACGTACACTAGATACAAGGGACTCTGGCTCGTAAGTTAGAGAGCACAGGTGGGGTAGGAAACAGGTGGGGCATTAACGTGGGGTGGGCAAATAAGGTTTCCGAGCCTAGCTAGGCTCGCGACTCCGTCTACAGTCGCAAGCCTAGTTAGGCTTGTTTCTGTCGTCACTCGGGTGGAATGCTGGCTATCGAGTGGCGTCTGTCCCCCGTCCGTTTGGGACAGGGATTAGTTTATCCGTAGATTTAGCTGTACAAAGCACGCCCGCTCCGATGGAAGCAACTCGGGACGCGCGGGACGCGAAGCCCCGAGTCACCGATCGCAGACGGAGACATCGAGCTTCATGCGAGCTCAACGGACACAGCGACGTACATTCAAATGATATCCGTCCCCGACCCTTGCAGACCTAACCTTGCCTGCTCCACCCCTGAGATCCTCTGCTCGATTATCCCAGCGGCGAACTCCTCCCAACTCTGCCTCGCGAAGCGTACTGACTTACCTCGACGCCTGCAGCTGAAGTGTTTCGCGCTGCGCCAGCTTGCAGTACGTAGATTAGATGAACAGGGACCGAGAACGTTGGCGATCGGTCAAGCCAGTCGGTCAAGTGCAAAGCAGCTGTCGGATGAACGAAAGTCGGATTGTCCGACTTTCGTATACCAGACTCCTGCAACTCTTGACCAGCGTGCGACGTGATAGACAGTGCTCGACGTCCAGAAAGGATATTGTGTGATTGAAATAAAGCAGGCACATATACCATACAGCTTGCAAATGAATCTCTGCGAGACCAGCATGTCTACGTCCCATTCCTTGGGTCTGAGGGTCATACGAAGGCGTGTGGCAAGTGGCGTTATGATTCGCAATCCTCACTTGTAACCGTGTGCAATAAATTCACTCAGAAGTCGGGAATACCATCTGAATCCGTGAAGGCGAGTACGGGCGTGAACGACGACACCGGTAATGAGTGAGGAGGGGATGTGTCGGCACCAGAACTTAACCCACAGACAAAGCCCGATGAAGTGAACAAATCAAATCAAGAGCCCCCAATCGCATTGACAGACCAGCATACCGACGACAGCTGAGATATAAATGAGTACTGCAGTGAATACCAGGATTCAGTAGGGCCGTCGCTGCGAGCTCAGGCTGCAGGATGTTCGGACGGAACGCGTCTCCAATCACCATTCCGGTCTCGGACTCAAGGGGTGGACAATAATAAAATTTTAGACCGCATGATAGGAAATCCTGCTAAGGTCCCAGAGGCCCCCCTCCCCCCCGTGGGAGCGTCCCACTGTACCATATCGGGAAGGTAGGTAGGTCCCAGGCACATCCAGGTTAGGGTTTGCTTAGTCATCTTTCAGTGCTCCCACACGTCACTCTATTGTCACACTATATGTTGTCACGCTTTATGTTTTCTTCCGTGCAATGGCCAAGGCGAGGTTGTCCTGGCTAATAAAGCCCTGTAACCCTCACTAGCAAGCAATTTTAGTACCACCTGTACCGTATCTCTGCCATCAGGGCTGTCACAGAGCCAAATCTATTTTTAATAAATTCCTGTTAAGGCCCTCGAGACCCCCCCCTCCCCCCTTCATGCGGTCTCGGCTTCTCCCGGTGTCCACCCCTTGCTCGGACTCGTATTTCCAGCCACAACAGATCTCGTCCTCCTCTGTCTCTTCCTCGTCTGCGACGCATGACTGCTCCGGAACGGAACCTCCAGGTACTGCGATGCAGTCGGATTATCGCGACCGTCGCATCGTATTCGCAGTTGACGTCTGCCTCAAGCTTCAATCGATGGTCTCCGCCAGTCTGCATATTCGCTCACCAGCCGCGGATGGATATGGACGTCAAGATATACTATGGGTGGTATATGCGGTATCACCCGCCATAATTGTACGAGCATTGCCCTATCGATGCAATTATCCGTCAAAATTCAAGTTGTGGTCGACCAAAGCACATAGATAATCTCACAGAATCTCACCCAGGACGGCGGCCCACCTGCTCAGCATGCTGTCCTTCCCTGTCAAGTTATCCCATATACTTATTGTCAGTACATCTGCCTAGCAATTACCAGTAGTAGCCAGCTTAGGATAAACAGCAAATCGGAAGACATCTCTGCACATCAGGCTTGGGCCTGCTTGAGCTCGGACAATCTAACAGATACGTAACTCTACTTGCAGTCAGAGTCGTGCCTTCACAGTCTCCTGCGGTTTGCAACGTACCCCGCAGCTGGTGATCAGACTGACTCATCTGAGGTGGAATAGTAAAGATCTAGCTACAGCATCTGACGGTGTCTTCAAACTCAGAAGTAATCAGGACTATATTGGACATCTAACAATGCCGATCAAGAGGCGGCCCTGGACATGGGGAAGCTGAAACACTTCTCTGTGTCCAGGGCTGAGCTGCTGTTCGGCACTGGAAATACCCAAGCACTCAGTAATTGTCCCCTTGAGCAGGACATGAGTCAAAGTAAGCACTCGGCTTACAATACAATACTGCAGCTCGAGGACAGGCAACATATTGCTTTGTTGGACGGATCTCTCAATATACTGCTTCTTTCCCAGCTTCCCTGGGATTATGTGATCGGGACAGGTATATGCGACACCTGCCGGCATGCCACAAGCATCTCCTGGAAGCAGTGCTTGGGAGCCAGTGCCGCTTCCCCATCACATCTCCGAGAGACGTCTGCCGTGGTACACAGCACTTCCAGCCTGACCCCAGACATCGGACGAGGGTGGCAATCCCCTTACGAAACTCCGGTTGCTCAGTATATAAGCTCACCTCGTGAGATACTTGCGATCCGGATGCCCCCTTATGCCCTCATTATGCTCGTACACTGTCTGATCTGAGGGCTTCGACACACCCACTTATGCTGCCTCTATCTTGTGTAGCTCGTAGTTACCTATGCTTCTCCGGCGCAAGTGCCAGTGTCCACTGGCATAAGTACACTGGTGGTGCCTACACCTGCTTTCCGGTGGTGATCAGAGCAGTAAGCCGTCTGGGTAATAACATGCTAGCTTGAGTGTTTGCTTACCATTTCACGTCATTCAGATTCTCTGCAGGGTTGAACGGCTACTGCGAGTCCTCGCGATGTCTGACGCGGAGCGCTTGCGCCGGCCTCTTGTCCCTCAAATGATCGCAATAGCACACAAAATGTGAGTACTACTTTTTCCGCAAGTATGCATGAGCTGACTTGGTTGCAGGGGCATCCAGCAGCGATAACGATGGACCAGATCCGACGCGATGATAACGAGTGGTGGCAGTGTTGCGCACGTGGTGCTCATCTCGGTATGTCTGCCTCTGCTAGACGAGTCTGACTCTCGACGATGTGTTCATGCAAGCTTCGCTTGCAGGTTACTCGTTCAGCACGATGCATACAAAGCTCGTGGCTTTTACCTCGTTTCTTTACTCTGACCGATAATCTCTGGGAGCCTCGCTACGGCCCTCACCAAGTGCTGTCGCCGAGGAAGCGTAGAGCGGATGAATGAGACGTGTAGGGGCTGGAATAAATGGTTGAAGAAAACGAGGAATATGGCTGTATAACGCTCGGAGATGGTGAGTATGCCTGTCCGTATAGTTCATTGCCCAATGCTGAATTCCCCTACCTTCCGGGTGCCTTTCCAGGATACTTGATTTCGCACTTTGCAAACAAATGAGACGGAAAACTGCCGCTCTATCTGATGCTTTGCTGTCCGCGATTTCGTCAAATCCCTGTATGTAGTCGCTGAACTGTACGCGGGTGTGCATTTGCACTTCCGATGCCTCTGCAGCTGCAGCATTGCTTTCAAGGGTGCGCGTTCCCCGGAGTCTCGTCGGCTGAGTGGACTACCCTGCATCTTGGTCGTGCACACGCCGACAATGTGCTCTCCCTGGAGGGACCATTGTATACACCTCTTATCTGCGGAACCTATCGACTCGCGTCTCGCACGATCAGTTGCTACCCGGCTTCGTTGTCCCGCAGATTTTCTTCCCATTTTTCCACACCAGGTGGGGATCAGTTCGGAGTACGTGTTCACATTGTAAGTCTTGCTGCGCTGATCCTGCCTTGTAATCTCTTTCTAATGACAAATCATGCTCATAGACTTGGCAATGACACTTCACGCCGGCCTCATCATCAGCTTTGCAACCAGCGGAAGACAATGCTAGCGAACATACGGTCTTCCGCTGGAAGCAACCCCACGGGGAATCCTGAGCAAATCTTTGTTGTATAGGTGCATAGCCTAGATATTTATCTTTTACGAGCTTGATTTAATGTATTCCGCTAGGCTAGGCTACAATGTTAGCAGAAACCTATGTCCTATCACCTCACGAGAATTGGTTGATGAGGTATGCTTGATGTTTCTTGCTCCATAGCTCGCCTGTCTTCCAGATAAGGCCTGTTCATCAGCGGCTCGATGTGGACAATTGCTCCCCTGTGCCAGAGTCGTTCACCCAGTGAGTGCTATTCATCTGCTGTGATCAAGTTGATGCTGACTGTAATACTGCAGGTGTCACAATGTGGATAGAGTTGTGCCCGTGTTACGGAGCTGTACTTTCATTAGTGCTACCGACGTCATCTCGCTTTTGGTATCAATGTCTCTGCCTGCCTTTGCTGTCTCTCAACTAGGCGTGCGTTTGTTCACTTTAACAATGGCTATCCGACTCACCAGCAAACAGGAAGCAGTCGTGATGCCGTCCACAAGCCTCTTCGCCCACATATGCGCTCGCACTTCTTATTTACCCGGGTAGCACGGGTATGAGCCCAACACTACCCACGGCCACTGCCGCTGTTGTAATGGGGTGGCTACAGCGTAGCCTGTTCGTCGACGATGGGACAGATCAACCTCCGCCGAGCAACTCATTCGCAATACATGTACCTGCCACCGTGTCGTGTGCCGTGGACTGCTATGAAGGATTGACGTGCCATCCGATATAACCATTGCGCGGACTTCGGACGGCTGCACTGCTGCTATCTCCGCAATCCCCTGCAAAGTCGGGAAAGTCTATGCAGATCGACTTCCCCCGAGTCAGGTCCGTGGTCAACGCTCGCACATATGAATGCTGCCGCGTTCGTTAACAAGTCATCAAAGCTGGCAGTGGGTACTTCAGCCGACGAACTCCGCTCTCTTGGTTAGCTTTGCGGGTAGTGCGCTGTATGGTTACTGTGTGGATCGCCATCCGCAGACTCGGAGCGAGACGTCGCCAGTGTGCCGCCTTCGACAAAGCTTCATCCCACCTTTGCTCGCCTCCCGCCGCAAAGCTCTCTTTGAACGCAAGTACTCTGGCTCCCTGTGAGATGCCACCTCCACTGGCCTACCCTCGCTCTCGCCCTCACTCAGGGATGCACCGCGGACAACGAATCCACGACTTTCCCGGGTCCTCTCGACCTCAACACCACTAGTCCATTCTGGGGCCATCGCAGGACAATTATGGGACGGATCAACATCCGGCAACCAAGGTGTCCATGCCGGAGCCAGACTCGCAATGCTGCCTGCTGCTTGTGAAGACTAGCCTGGTCATTGTCTCCTCACTTCCCTTCACTGCACCCTCATTAGGCGAGCCACGGAGCCTACAAACCTATCTTCATCTCAACACTGTTACCTCCACTTCGGTACCGGGTCCCATAGCAATGACGGGACAGATCGACGTCCGGAATGCCGTCCGGTGGCCGACATCTACGGCCCTCGTCTGCCGTGCAACGAAAGGCTGTTGTGGGACAGTCCGGGGGTATAGCTCCATACCCGGCGGCTGCAGCTATCTCTCATGTACTCTTGATGACTACGGAGACTAGTAACCTCAGTGACCACTAACCGGGTCGGCAGGAAGCATCACGCTGCAGTGTGCTCCTCGGCGTGCAGGAGGCATCTGATGTTCTCTCCTGCCCCCCCTGAGCCGGCCATCTCCCGATGCTACAACAACGTGTAGGACAGTCACGATGGTGTTTGGAAGTCGCGCGTAACCAGGGGATCAGTGGCGGTGTCCCCCCTCCGACGCTTCCCTCAACTGCGGCAATGAACTCTGTCACCGCCGCTTGGATGCAGTAGCCTGAGTTTGCAGGGTTAGGGTTTCGGAAGCTTAGTTCGGACGCGATAACACAGCACAGGGCCTCCATCAACTGCGCAGATCTTCGGACCCGTCTGAGGGGATTGAGCGCATTGTGTCGAAGAGTTGCTTCAATTCGGAGGCGAGCAATGATCGTTGTTTCGGCGACATATCCCATAGACGGCCCTCCAGCGGATCTCCGGGCAAGCGCGTCATGACCATGAACACGCGGCCCGGATACTGGGGATTTGGGACGACATCGACCAGGGACGGTACTGGTCCGCGCACACGCTGAGAGATAAATCGTAACGCATTTGCCTCGTGCACATCCACGGCGCGCCCCGCCTTCGCATAAAGGTCGAAAGGCAAGCGGAAGCAGCTGGGAGATGTGGTTGGACCATATAGACGGAGCCCCATACGCACTAGGAGTTTGTACGCATAAAGCCTGATGTTTTGAGGAACGAAAAGCCATATAGTCAGGAGGAATCCCATGGCCTCTCAACCCCAGGGTGGAAAAACGCGTTCAGGTTTCAACAGCCGAGTCCGCTGCGTGCGTCGTGGTAGCTGAACAGAAACGCCACGCCCATGGGAAGCATATAACAGGCTGCACTACCAGAACCATGAGATATTGCGAATCAGGTCGACTGTGTTGCGGTACTCACACATTGCTCCGCATCTTCGTCCCGATGAAGGGGCCCAAGGTATGTCTAACGTAGATAACATACACAGCGACAGTCTTCTCAAGATATGTACTTTAAGGGACATCTGAGATGCGCATGACGAGTTATATAACTAAATGCAATCCTCCCAACAACGTTGAGGACGCGCGGCCCGTAAAAGGAAGGTCGAGGCCATCGTGAAGTGAGTGCACAGGCGGCTGTGCGGCAAGTCTGCGTAGCGCCCATGGTGCATTCCCACAGTCTCCAGAGAGGATGAGGACGCGAGGTGGATGGTTCTAGGAGCCTGATGTAGAGTACGTAGGGCGGTCCTGGGAGGACACGAAGTATTGTATTTTATGTGATATTTACTGAGAATGACAATTTCGTTGGGGTGAAAAGGGGGGTGCACCAGACGGAGGGGAATGCATCAAGTCGGTCTTATAACTCTGGGCGCAGGTGTAAATCACAGTTACTTTTATAGGAATCAAAGATACAGTGCATGCAAATAGTTCCTATAAAAAATATTTGAGGATTCAACCCACGGTGCTTACGATAAGCTCGACAATGGTGTAATGAGTTTTGATTCACGATGTATATACATCTTATTGAACTGAGAACCCATCGGGAAAAAATGGTACTGAAACTGCCCACATCCAGACTCGAACTCCCGACCTCGTCGGAAAGGTGACATGCAGTATACCAACTGAACTACAAGGACAATGACTGTCATGTCATTGTTCAATATATATTGGTACGGTATACAACTAACCCGCTGAGCCGACGCTGCCCTGCGGAGTGGACGCCGCGCCGCGCGGGGTCCCATTACGTAATGCGCGTCCTCAACTTTGTTGGGAGGATTGCATTCAGTAGTTATATAGCGGAATAGCATTCGGCCCCATCTAACATAATGTACACCGCACTTCCCCTCGAACACTACCCTATGACACCTTCCCTTGCATGTAGAACAGATCCTCAAACCTCCACAAACACGATTGCCCTGCATAATCTACGATCCCTAATAAGCATCCGGATCCACCCAGAACATCAGGTCACTCACCGAACGTATCATGCCTATCGCACGCACACTTCCCTCTCCTCCATTCATCGTATCCTCTCGGGCAATGCTGAAACGGGTCGTGGCGGTACCCGATGTCGCTGAAGAAGTGGATCCGATCCTTCGGCTGGAAGAGCGCCGCGGCGATGCTGTGGACCGGCGCGTCGCCCCACCGCTGAAACCAAGATTGTGTTCACCAGTTCAAGAAACCGAGTGTGCGGAAATTTCGAACACTAACCTCGTAGTAGAACCCGCCTTTCGACTCGAGGAAGCCGAAGAAGGCTTCGTAGGCTTCGCTCCGCCAGAAATCCATGTCGGCTATTTCGAAGTTACTCCAGACTGAGGGTGTCTGTCACCAGCACTCGCGAACAAAGCGTGACATACTTACAATGACACAAGTTCCATGTAAGGCCGTGGTCCTCCGATAAATAATCCATCCCGTTATCCTTGTCTATATACTCTGGATGTTCTTTCATAAATTCTGGACGCGGTCGTTCGCAGTGAGAATCGCTTCCAACCGATATAGTCCGTAGAAAAGATGTACTCACCTTTAACGGTATCCCACAAGGTCGGGACCGTTTTCGGAATCTCGTCGAACGTGATTGTAAATCCTACAGACCGACATCCGATTAAATTATTTGGAGATACGGAAAAAAACTCCGCACCGTAGGTCTTTTTGTGCTCCTCCATAAACAGGAAGGGGTCGTAGTCTAGATCGCAATACAATTTAATCGACGGCCTGTCCGGAGGGTTAACAACGCAGCAGAGTAGTAGAGGTACTGGGAATGAAACATCAGGAGGATGGGCATAAGACGTACTCGACGCGCCAGTAATATCTATAGGGTTGCAGAAGCGAGTGCTTATAGAAGAACTGCAAGCCATCGTGAGCAACACAACATTCGAAACACCATTACTTGGAGTACGCACCCCTGAGTTGAATCGGCACATATTTCGATATCTGAATGCGAGGTCAGAGATACCTCAGCTTTCAGTCTATTGCACGCACGAAACACTATCTGCATTGACCGTAAGCAGGCGACGACGTACAAGAGCGTCGATGAGAGCACACCTCCATAGATGACTCCTTGCATCTTCATCGTTCTCCTTGCCTGCTGTGCCCTGCCTTCGTCTATCCAGTCCGGCTGGACCCAGTGTTCCCTTGGGATAAGCCCAAATTGCATCGGGGCATCCGTCAACACGCTCACACGGCTGAAGATCGACCATATAAGTTCTACAACTTATCGACGGAGGTGACACTGACGTCTTAAAGTAATCCGTAAATTCCTCGTCGTTAAGCAGGACCCAAGGATATCCGAATTTCTTGTTGAACCTGTCTTCGACTTGTTGGATGGTGCTAACCACGCCAGCCAGGTCGCTATTCCGGCATAAGAATACAAGCGTTGCGTTCGCTCTCCCTCGGCGAACTGGGGCTACTCGTAGGCTTTCCGAGGGTATTCCGACTTCATTGTGTTGCGGTGTGTCTGGTGGAGGCTGCGCTTGATTCGGGATGCCCAATTCCAGATGCGTTCGGTCTAATTCAGCCGTCTCCTCGGAGTACCGGAACTCGTGGATGGACTCGTAGAGTCTCGATATGGTGGTGTCTTGGGATTTTGCATCGCGAGATATACGCAGGAGGAATAGCAGTGATAACTAATAGAAATTTGATGGGATCCACAGTTAAGGAATGTTTATGGGCGTCAAGTCAATCTCGAGGTCGTGCACCTACCAGGATGACCAGGCTGATTAGGATGTAACGTCTATGTCCCAACAATGACATCTTTGCCGAGCACGATGCGCATAGGCTTCCAGCCCAGAGTGCAATGTGTCCACTGGGAACGATTCGCATGGTAATCAGCCTTACAAAATCCAAATAACCGTTGACTAACCAGACAGATAGACGCGTCTAGCAGGATGCTCTCGCTCAGGCTGGAGGTCAGCGCATGAGATCCTCGCATCACACCGAAGGGTGTTAAGTACGCTGGATACACCTGCGAGTGGTGTTTCAAAGAACCGCCACCATCATATGGTTCAATGCGCAGCAATCATGAGAACTGCTTCGAATTCGAACCTTACGAACGCGTCGCATATCTCATCCGGCCTCCGACTTTAGTTATTATAACCGAATAATTATAGCCGGGACAGGTTATAAATAGCCGGCTGCCACAATGCCGGATGGCCATGAATCCGACTTGACGTCCTCCTAGGCCATATATGAACGAGAAGAAACACATCTATTCGCAACAGTGATTATTTTCCAGTACAGTTGTATTGACCTCTTCTTTTTCTTCAGCCTACAATCCCCGATTCTACAACGCCTCAAACAACCTAAGCCTGCAGCTTCTTCCTGACGAGCTCCTTCAGGGTCTCTCCGTCCTCAGCGAATTTCTTGATACCTTCATGGAGCTTGTCGAATGCCATCTGGTCCTGGAGGAGCGCCCACCTGAACTCGGGCTCGTTGTTGATGAACGAGACCTTGGGGATGGGGTCCGCCTGGAGTGCCTTCTGCGAGTCGAGCTTCTTGGGCACGGGGTCCGTGCTCTTCTTGAGCTCCTCGAGAAGACTCGGCGAGATTGTGAGGAAGTCGACACCTGCAAGCGCCTTTATCTCGCCTATGTTGCGGAAGGACGCGCCCATGACGATCGTCTTGTAGTGGTGCTGCTTATAGTAGTTGAAGATGCGCTTAACGCTCTGCACGCCGGGGTCCTCGTCACCCTCGTAGTTCTTGCCCGGCTGGTTCTTCTTGTACCAGTCGAGAATGCGCCCCACGAATGGCGAGATGAGCGTCACGCCCGCCTCGGCGCACGCGACGGCCTGCGCGAAGCCGAAGAGCAGCGTCAGGTTGCAGTGGATGCCGTCGTCGCGCTCGAGCTCGCGGGCGGCCTGGATACCCTCCCACGTGGAGGCGATCTTGATCAGCACGCGCTCCTTCTTGATTCCGACCGAGTCGTAGAGAGCGATGAGCTCCTTCGCCTTGGCTTTGGTGGCCTCCTTGTCGAATGACAAGCGGGCGTCAACCTCTGTCGAGACACGACCAGGGATGATCTGGAGAATCTCCTTTCCAAACTCGACCAGCTAAACGGGCAGTCAGGATCCGATTGAGGCTCACAGACACCCCACGACTATACTCACCAGTCTGTCCATGGCCGCGTTCGTCTGCTCCTCAAGATTGCTGCCCTTCTCCTTGCCATACTTTACGGCATTGTCAATAAGGCGGGCATATCCCGGCTTGTTGGCAGCAGCCAAGATCAGCGACGGGTTCGTCGTCGCATCCTGGGGCTTGTAGACATCGATCGCTGCACTCTCATCAGTATCGCCAGCCATCGGGAGCGCATCGTACCCGCACTCACACTCGAAGTCACCGGAGTCGGACACGACAACGGTGCCGGTCTGCTTGAGCTGGTCCAGGGAGGTGGTCATGATGGTGGTTACAATGGAAGTCTGAGGGAACGTCGGTGACGCTTTGCGGTATATATCTCAGGACGCGTCCCCGATAATCCGAACGTGGGAGTTCCGGGCCGAGTTTGGGGGATGCTCAGTAAGACGTCACCGGGGCGCCGAAAGACCGGCAAGCGGCCCCAGGCTTTTCTCCGCACGCTGACTTGGCAAGGGAACCGGATTCCAGTTGTTACATGGAAGCTTCAGGCAATCGGGAAGTAGCAGTGACATATATTATGGGAAGACTGGAGTTGACGTCTCGTTCTTGTAAGGGTTAGAGAAGTCTAGTCACCACAAGAGAGTCGTGTCTAGCGAGGAAAAATCACTCAGTATGCATATGTATTCCAGAGAAACCCATCTTTAAGTCATCACTGTCAATGCTAAGCAGGGGGGTTACAGAGCATTGAGAATGATGTCAATAAGTATTGTCAAAGCCGTTTGATCAATTTGTAAGGGCAAAGGCACTGAGAGTCAAGTTTAGCAAGTGTGAATATTAATGATCACCGTGATATCCACACACATGCCTGTCTCCCACATCCTATTGGTCAAAATTCACATCCCTGATTACATCCTTCCACTCCTCCAGGACTCCCGTCATCCTCTCACACTTCTCCCTGATTGTTTTCTCCGCTGCAATGCCCAGTGGCAAGTAAAGTGGCCATGCCTTGCCTGTAGCCCTGCCCTCTCCCCTTACCACATCCACTACGGCCCGCATCGCCTTGGTGGGGTCACCCTTCTGTGTCCCGTTGATTGAGTTGTAAAATGCCTGGGAACTCGCACGTAGTTCGTCATAGTCGGGGATCTGGTTCTCCAGGAAGAAGGGCTGGGCGAAGATGCCCTCGGTGCGGAAGGCACCGGGCTCGACGATGAGAACACGGATGTTGAAGGAGGCTAGCTCGACAGAGAGGGTTTCACCGATAGCTAGAACACACTTGGGTCAGCTTGAGACCGTGGAAAGCTTAGCTTGGGTTACTCACTTCGTACGGCGGACTTTGAGGAGGCATATATGCCTTCCTTGATGCGTCAGCCCGGCATATACCCCGGTATAAGCCGAAAAATGTACCTCCACTCTGTAACAAACACCAATGTTAACAACCGAAAACATGGACACGGATGTGAGGGTACTCACCGGATTCTCCGGCATCCAACTTGTCCGGCTGCCAATCACCACAATAGTCCCAGACCTACGCTCGCGCATGTATGGCAACACAGCCGTAGTTACGTCCAACATTGAGAACACGTTCGATTGGAAGATCCTCCTCACCAAATCCGACCTACCACGAACAAATGAGCATTGGTCTGTGATACGCTGGTACAGCTATTCACGCACCCGGCCTCCTCCAATAGCCCCTGCTGCGCCCAAGCAGCATTATTCACGAGAACGTCTATCCTTCCCCAGAATTGCATTCCCTCTTTCACCACTTCTTTGAGGTTCTCCACCCCCGAGTCGATGTCCAGCTGTAATACTCGCAGACTGCTTGTATGTGCGTCCGACGCGAGATCAAAGAATGCAGGTTCCTGTATCTTGGCTAAGTTGCGCGCTGTCGCGATGACGAGGTCACCGCGTTCGAGGACGAGCTTGACAAGTCTCCGTCCAAAACCAGACGAGGTTCCTTAATGGCAAGCGTGATGGAAAGGACGGGTTACCAAGGACTGAGGACACACCTGTGATGAACCACACTTTCTGGTCAGACTCGGAGGTGGACATATTTCAGGTAATCCAAGACTGTCTTCAGCTGTAAGTAGCTCTGTACCACTTCCAGCGGACGGTTTTATTTGCGGTTATCTGCCGGATAATCGTGTAAGGCGCCCGAGCGAATGGGGTTACAAGCAACTTCAATGTCACCTACAGCGAAAAATACATCTCCTAGACACCTCTGGCCATCATATATAGGAATGGCAATGCAGTGAGCATCGCAATTGACTGCAATGGAGTAACACAAGCGGCGTTTGAGCGGATGTTGAACGCGGCCTGGTGATAGCGGTCCAAACGTGCATTCGGATAGATTGCCACAACCCTGGGAATGAATATGTCCCTGGGGTTCTGGCACCCTTGAATTGCGTCGCACTTTTCGTCGCACCGGCAAACTCCGGCGTGCTATGCTTGGCTCTAGTGGCGCCACTACTAAATAAGGACTTAGCCATGGTCGGGACTCCACACTCCAGTCCCTCTCAACTATGTAATTAGTGTTGGTTTGTGGATGCCATAAGGTACAGATGAAGGCCTATTGTGATCTAGAACTTAGAGGCATAGGGAGAGCATAGTATTAAACATAGATCCTTGTACCTCAAAATTTTTGAGTGTTGTATGTCATAGCTTGAGAAGGATTTGAGTGTATGTGCACTCCATCTAACATGGGTATTCAATCATTCTAGTTTTCTGGGTCTCCATGCCATACTCAAGTCTGTGATGGACAATTTACAAATACATAGAATTCAGAAAATCCATATCATTTCATGGCTTATGATCATGAGCCCCAACAGACTGTAAGATAAAACTATGATGTGAGATGGGCGCCAGATGTCCAAGCAACAGACATGCACCATTAAAGAGTATTTCTACCATGTAACATAATGCAAGGGATATTGTTAGTAATATAGGGGACCCAAGTTTTCCCAGTTCTCTTTCAGTCAAGCTCCATCTAGGGCCAGGTAGAATGTCCTGTGCTGCTGTATCCTAAGTTGTCTAAGAGATACTGACCCCCTATCCAAGAATGCCCTTACGATGATTTGTCAACGCCCTGTAGCAGCCGCAACATCTTGACCTTAGTGCAAGTTCTCAAGGTCAATTTCTTGAACAAAGGAGGGGTAAGTTGCCGGCGCCAGACGGCGCTTCACAAGTTAATGAATGCGGACAAATCGTGCTGTCTTCGTCAAGTACGATGACTGCCATACATAAACCCCAGCTGCGATTCTGTAAGGGAGCTGGCGGCAGGGGAAGAAAGAACTAGATACAAAACGCATGCAAGCTGCACATCTACAATGTTGATAAACACCGCTTGCGGAAACCATCTCTTCCTCCAAATTTGAAGCAACGCGTAGATGAGAAGTTTCCATCGTGATCTATTAGCGGGGTATTCCAGCGACATGACACCCTGGTCCACATTCGGATGACGCGCACAAAGCCACCATAGGACCCAAAGGACGGGTGCCCAGCATCATAGCAAGGAGCCGTTCGGGACGCATCATACGTCGAATATCCGGAAACTGTCACAGTTTCGCGAAAGGATAGTCAATATACCCCCGAGGCGTTTTCGGGATATAGAACGTCTTTCGATCATACCGCGTCCACGGAATATCCTGCAGTATGCGCTGCGGGAGATCAGGCTTCACACAATCCCACATAAGTTCCCCACGTCACTCACGCACGCACATCCGCAAAACTCACATTAGCGATGAAATACCTCCCAAATGCAACGAGGTATCCGTACTTCTCAGCAGCCTCCAGCGCCGACTCCTTCGTATACCCTCCCGCGCTGACGATCGGCCGCGGCGCCCATATTTCGCGTACAAAGTCGTTCGAGTCGCCTTCGGGCATGTCTTTCACCGTCATAGGCCCGTCCGTGCGCGGCTCGATCATGTGCAGGTACGCCAGGCTCGGGTGGAGATCTCGAAGCCGTCGCAGGAAATAGCTGAATGTCGCCTTCGGATCTTTCTCTCGCATACCTACCGGGTATAAATACCATCGCCTGTAGCATACTGATATGGCACACACCTCCAAAGCGCCCCCACGGGCTGATCCGGAACCCCGTCTTTGCCTCGCCCACCGCGTCCGCAACCGCCTTTACCACCTCCAGTGAAAAGCGGCACCTGTTCTCCAGCGAACCGCCGTACTCGTCCTCGCGCTGATTGCATACGTCCTGCAGGAACTGATCGGGGAGGTACCCGCCTGCGCCGTGGATCTCGACGCCGTCAAAGCCCGCTTTGTGCACGGCATTGAAGGCCGCGGTCGCGTATAGCTGGACGTACTCTTTGATCTCGGAGATGGTAAGGGAACGTGGTGAAGCTGTCGCGCCCGGTTCGGGGATAGAGGAAGAGGAGACGTAGGAATCGTGGATGCCTTCTTTCGCAAGCACTTGAGGTTTGGCACGGCGGCCGAGGGCCCATAGTTGCAGGTAAATGTAGCAACCTCGCGCATGGACAGCATGGACAACCTACGGAGGTGATACGCTTAACTCCAGCCATCTCTTGCACACAGCGGTTGCTCACCTCTTTCCATGCAGCGATCTGTTCATCATTCCAGATGCCAGGAACGTTAGGCATACCTCCAGCTTTTGCAGCGATGAATGTCCCTTCAGTAATCAAGAGCGTACCGGGCATGCTGGCACGCTGGGCGTAATATTCCACCGCCAGCTTTCCATGGACGTGTGTATCATCGGCTCGGAATCGCGTCAAAGGTGCGAGGACGATGTGGTGCTTGAGCGTCAGATTCCCTACTTGGACGGGTTGGAACAGTTTCGGCGGCGTCCTTGTTGATCCACTAATCATCGCAGTGTCTGGATGGACAGGGGGCAATCAAAACTATATACCCCCGCTTCGTATCTGTGATTTTATACACGTTTTCATGTCAGAATCGGATTCGCTTCATCCCCATATCGCATAGCAATTTGGATATAGAATTGATATATAGAGACAAGGTTTGGTGATGGAAGACCATCTATCACTAGATTTTGTCATGCAGCAAGCAAGAAAGTCGGCATAGCATGTGCCCGAGTTGTACAATGTACGAAATGCTTCCGCTTCGGAAGTTGCCGATATGTCAGGATTTCCCGCAAAGTACTGTATGATTTCGATCTATTCGGCAGTCACACGTCACAGGGGTACCTGCCGAAGACGAAATCTGGCGTTTGTCACCGGTCACAGGGCCTCTGGGATCGTGAGACTTACCATATTTGGTATCAGAAGCTGGCCTGCGGCGCCACTTCGCACCATATATAGTAAAATGCCGAAATGACGAATCGGTCAGATGAGTCACACGTCACACCGCCTGCCGAATAGATCGAAATGGTACAGTATGTTACAGTCGTTTGCATATGAAACCGAAAATCGGGTTTCCGTGAGCATTGTTTGTTCGAGCCAAATATACCCATATGCAGTAATGCGAGATGGCTTCTTGTGACTGCGTGACTGTCAGATAGCATTCATCGACGTCTCGAACTTGAAGTATCGACTGGCTGGTACCATGGTTCACCTCACTCGACAACTACGTGAACGTATCATTGTCTGGCGCCATGAGCAAAACAAGACACTCCGAGTGATTTCTGAGCTTGCGGGATGCGGCATAAGCACAGTCTTCGAAGTTCTCCGACTCTACACGGGCACAGTCATCAACCCGAATGCTAGACCTCGAGGCCGGCCGCGCACTCTCGACATGCAGGATATGAACTTCGTGCGATCAGTTATTGAGGGAGAGCCTGCTATTTACCTTGATGAGCTACGAGATCAAGTCTACAACAGACTACACAGCACATGCAGTTTGTCAGCCTGAGGGCGGGCTGCAGTCTACAGAGTCACACAGTCACAAGAAGCCATCTCGCATTACTGCATATGGGTATATTTGGCTCGAACAAACAATGCTCACGGAAACCCGATTTTCGGTTTCATATGCAAACGACTGTACTACTAGGGATCCGCGGTCGCGCCGAGTTGCTCGCTTCGAAGAGCTAGGGCGTGGCTGCGGACTCCAAATATAATGCACAGCACATTGTGGTAGCACTACCTCCTGGAATTACATGACACTGTATCTACCCTTGAAGTCATCCCGAAGTTCAGCCAGATTTTTGCCACCCAGCTTCTTGACCCGATTGAAGTCCCCCTGATTGATGAGCAGTAGATCTAGCGAGTCTTTCACCCTTGATAGTGCTACAAAGGTGAGGCTGGAACAAAACTCCCTTGTCCCGAGACCAATTCTGGCTTTCGAGAGGGTTGTGCCCTGAGATTTGTGCACGGTAACAGCCCACGCAAGGCGCAAGGGTAATTTAGTACGGGACATTGCTTTCCCACCGTGCTCAAATGTTGATTTAATCGCAGTGACTGGGATGACTGGAACACCGTCAGGATAGCCCGGCCGTGGTTCTGTGTGCCATAGAGTCGGTCCATGGTACGACCGGCACGAGACCAAGACTGAATACGACCACAGAACTGTCCAGGGGTTACAGTATACAGATAATTCCTTCCGAAATCGAACATAATGTAAAGGAGAGCACCTACACCATACTCCAGGTAATTTTAAGTGGAAACATCTGAGCATGACTGTTACATTGGTCGACTCGGAGGATGTTGCAAAGCGGTTGGAAGGCTGTAGAATGGTAACATGCATGGATTTTCGTGCAGTTTTCAATACTAGCATATAAGATACATGTACATACAGCAATTTGAGAGTGTTTACGAGGCTCCTTTATGCAGTATTGGCAGAATAGCGGCAACTTTCTGCATACTTGAAGCCTTTGTGGGTCCCTCAGCCACAGTGCGAAGAATTTGTACATGTTTGTCGCGGACTTCAGCCCTAGAGAATGATTGCTCGCTTCGCTCGCAATTAGAATGTGTCGTGAACGAACTCTTTCGAGCATATACGTCTTTATGGGTGTTATAGGAGATCAGTATAAGTGAGTATATGATACAGAATAACAGGGTTCAAGAGATTTACTGGTTAATTCTGACCTTCGTTATCATCGTAACTCGTAAGTAGCGAATCATTACAAAGTATACCTGGAGTGATGATGCTCAGTAAGGCAGATTACACGGATAAGTATGACATACCGATACAAAAGAGACTCGTCTCCTGCCTCCACAAATCGAATCGCGTCCTTTTTCGTGATTCCTTCACGCTCGCAGTAGGCCTCTTTCGTCGATTTGCGTGCCTGTACTCCACACTTGCCACCACAGCGGCCACAATTCTACAAAGAAGCGGGTGGCAGCCAATCGGCAGCCGCGTCCGGACTCTGAGTGTGGCAGGCTCTGAGTGTGGGGTGTCCACAGCGCGGACTTCGGGTACGAGACGAAATCCGGGCTACACCCTAACACACTAGACTGACAGGGCAGTGGTGGGCGGGTCAAAAATGTTCTCTCCTCTCAGGTGGTGAAGATGAGGGGAGAGAGAAAGCGTGAAAAAGCGCGAAGGACTGACGCGGCGTGTTGAGCACTTACGGGAGAAGGCGGCGTTCACGTGGCGCCGCCTGCTCAGCACGCGAGGGCTCTCCGGCCACACCTAGCTTGGCTTAGCACAAGCTCAAGCCGCTCGTTCCTCGCGTCGAGCTTGTTTGACATTGGGCTCACTCTGCCACTAAACGTAGCCAGCGCCTAGTCGATCAGGTCCAGTAATCATGGCTTGATGAAGTGAATGAGACCCATAATACTGCAGAGCCACAGCATCGCCGAGTCGCAAGAGCTGAAGCACCCCATAGATCTATCCGCATGACTTCCCGTAGGACGTGCAGGGCGCCAGCCGGAGCCACCGCATATTTTTTCCATTGTCGCCGCGAAGGTAGACAACTTGAACAATGATACACAGATCAGACCCCTAGAGGATCTCCTCATTAATGTACATCATTCTTGGATTGTCGTTATAGCCTTCTCCATCATGCACGTGCTTTATAGCGACAAATTACAACAACCGGAGTGATCAGACAGCAGGGAGTGTGCGGATGGGGCGGCGAAGGCCACTTCAAATAGAGTACCGAAGGGAAGTCGTAGTTTGTTCGGCGCAAGGAAAGACGGGCTGAGATGGTCCTGTGTGTAGAGGCGTGCCGCGAGCCTGAGTCCCACAGAGTGATGCCGTTGGATCCACACGAAGACATCAGTAGCGCAACCAGCTGGCAGCTTCCATTGACGAGGAGGGTGAGCTCCCTTATCTGTCACTCCAAATCTCAGTCAAGATCCGCCAACGCTCCAGGCAGGTGTGTTGCTGCCACCAGTCAAGAGGTGACAAGACAAAGCGAGGCGCCGTGTAGGCATCGTGGGCAGCCCAAATCCGCCAACGCGCATGTATGTTGCCTAGAATTCGAAGACACAGCCCTAAGTGGGTCCCAGGCGTATGAGCTTCTGCATGACCATGAGGATGTGGAACAACCGAAAACCACCGCGTTTCGAAGTCTATAGTTCATTTGTAAGGACAGACACCTGTTGCAGAGATACCTTTCAAGCCTTGACGTGTGATGGATATGGAAGATTTCGATCATCGTATCGTAGGTCACAGGATGGGCGCCTATTAGTACGGGCACCTACGGGATACCGGGGTAAGAAGAACCGCAGCCCAAATGGCATGCTGGATATAATCGTCGTGCACGCTGTGCAAAGCAGTGAGAGCGTAATCACCGACAGGAAAGGGTAAGATTTTCCGGCGTCAGTCAAACAGGGTTTGCACGCGCTAGTACGCTGGGAGCAGACCCAAGGCCGGCTACGACTTTCAGCACAGTCCAAACTAGCCAGCATGTGCACCCACAAATGTCCTCCCTCTACGGGGTGCACCCAACAAGTATTTCTGTTCCATACATAAACCTACACTAGCGCCATCAGTCCAGGAGTCCATCTCCGCCACATGATCTTGCAGGCTAGTGGGCAGATGCAGATATGTCGGTCTGCCAAAAGACCGAGCGGGTTGCGCGGATAGTACAAGTACTTCGCTTCGGGGAGAGCATAACTCCTAACCTTGAGAAGAGGTGAGACGGGCTTGGCTGGCAGGAGACCTGGGTTTGGATCGAAGGTACCTTGGTGGCCAGAAACATTCCCTGACAGAGCGCTCCATGACAGCTCCACGATGCATATGTGAGAACAGTATGACACGAACATATTCCACGGACGTACCTACATGAGGAGCCTGCAGCCAGGAAGAGTAGTCGGTCATTTGATTTCGTAGAAAAGCACAATAGTAAGAGCACTGCATTTCCGTTCGATGCTACTCACTGAAGGAAGAAACCTGATTCTGAAGTGATTTCTCAAGATCTCCTAGTATCCGATGATTCATTACCAACTTGCTTCCGAGGTAACGCCCAAGCACGGTACCTCGGGTGTTGTTCGGTTTGCCTCTACTATATCCAGAACGATAGTAAGTACCCCTAGCAATGAATCAACCGTCTTAGTCGGAGATCTGCTTGTGATTTGTGCAGAGGAGTCGGTGGTCATCCGGTAATCGGTATTATGGAAGTAGGAAGTGGGGAAAGTGGATGTACCGGATGCTATAGTGTTTGCAGTGTCCGACAAAACAAGGCTACGTGTACTGGTGCAACATGTCGATATACGCCCGCTATGATGGAAATAGGCGTATATCGGCAAGCTAGCTTTATTGGAGTGATGATGAGGGTAGAGATACCAGCACCTGTAGATCACTGATGTCAGCTCCGAAGGCACACGTCAGATGTATGTTGAAACTTGATACGGATAGTTACTGAGCTCACGCCCTTTAAAGTACATATCATGGTTTATGCGTCGCGCATGCTTCGTTCCAGATAACATGGTATCCGGGCCTTGTTCTGCCTACTCGTGCATCATCCAGAGTTGTGGCTCTTGGGATGGATCACTGCCGCTAGTGAGAGGGGCTTCTCTAAGGTCGGTGTTATACCCTTACATTCATGCTACGGTGTAAGGAAGTCCACCGAGTGCACATATATCGACATTTCCGCCTGAGGGCCCGTATACCTAGGACTAGTTCGCCGGACCACAGTTTGGCCGGGTCTCACCATGAACGAATCGGTCTTGCACCGCGACCGACTTCCATAAATATTCATCCGCGACAAAGGATTCTGCGGACGTACCAATACCTTCTAACTATTCTCCTTCTTTGTGCCAAATTTTGTCGTTTCCTTAGGAAACACCGACGCTATCAACACGACTCACCTATCATGGTAGGACAGTCACAGAATCCTCCTCAGAGCGATGCCTCTACTGCAGATGCCTCTATACTCCGTGGCAGCCACGGCAATGCAAGATCCAGAGTATGAGATAGATGTTTACAGTCAAACGCCTCTTCTCAGGGAATGAGTGATGCGATCGGAACCTTATTCTGTCTGGTCCTCCCCACTCGCTGACAGGTCCTACGCACTTGCACTGCGTCGATTGTCATATGCTGCGGCTTGGTCTTGACGATGTTCTCCCTCCGTCGCCCGAGTGGGGCGGCCGGGAGCAGTACGCGTATTCGTCCTCGATGTCGGACTCAGTACCTAAGTCTCGTACTAATCCTCGGGTGGTCAGACAGCAATGGAACTGGGACACTAGTTTCGATTCAGACTGACCTCTCCTAAGCATCGAGCAGTATGTACTTAGTGTATCATGGAGTTTATTAGAGATTCATGAATGAGAAGACAATCTGAGCTAGAAGCGCGGGAGGAAGCAAGCGCTATTCAGTGTATACATATTCAGCGTCCAGTTCCATTCACCGGTGAACCGTATTCACCGCCAGTCCGAGTCAAACCATTCTTCGCGGGATCGCTATTCGCATCGCAGTGGATGTCTTAGAATGGCAGCTTGTGGATTCGAGCTATGCGCCTTGAAGCTCTGCAGTCAACATCGCGATTCAGATGGTGGGAACAGCCGCGCATTGGTCGATCGCAATTGACAGTCGTCGGCCGTCGGGGTGGCTGTGGAATCTCACAATTACGGCGGCGGTGTGTCGTAAGAGACGGCACCGCCGTAAGACAAGACAAAATAACACGGCTCAAGTCTAGGCTTGCAATGAACATTGAACCCTTGACGATGATGGATTACCGTCACTGCTCGCTGAATCGGTCATCTCTGCAATAGAAAGACGAGAGCAACAAGGGACACATGATGGAGACGGCTGGAGAGTTTACTTTTAGGTGACAACAAACGGACGCCCAAATGCGGGAGCTTGGGAGATGAAGAAGCCTGGGGATGACCTTGTTTCTCCAACTCGAAGCTTCGGGCCCGCGTGAGCGCTACATTCATGATATCCACGATGCAGGATGATGAAAGATTACTTTGTACTGGAACTAGCTGGTGGCTGACGGCACCCTGCGCGCAGCGGATGGCAGCCCCAAGATAGAATGGCGCGACACCCGCCGCGGCGGGTAACTCTAACGGAAGCAGGCTAGATCACGATCGCAGAAGCGCTACGTAAATAATGTCTGGTGGGCCACCCAATCCGGGCTGAGGCACAAGCTGTTCGGGCAATTGCAGTGCGCCGAGGAGGGCGCGGGCTGTCCGCTATTTGTCTTGGAGGCCGCAGTGCCCATGCAATTGTCCAGCGCTCTCTTTGTGTTCAACGCTGCGTGGGGAGGGCATGCTCGTTGCCGCGGGTGCCCGAGGCGACCTATAAAGATGGGCAGTTGGGACGATGGTCTGGCGGCTGCGCCCACTGACGAGTTTTCACGACGCCACGTATAACGCCAACGCCCATCAACGAAAGTTCAGGCAGAAGAACGCCCCCTAAAAGGCAAGTATAATCCCGCACGGCGTCATTGATGAATCGGGGGCATCGGAGATAGTCTAGTCGTTTGTGCCGGAAAAGGAAGTCTCGGGAGCTTCTGGGGACCAGATGTGCCCTGGAAGACGCTGGCTCTGACATGCATCTCTTATAAATTTATGGCCGGTCTGCGCTGACGATCTGCAGTCGCGTCCGCCCCCGTCCCAGACTGTTGTCCTTTCCTTTGCCCACTGTCAGCCGCAGCAACTCCGTCTAATTTATTATCTCCCTCCAGCCTCCCAGCCTCCCAGACTCCAGCCCGCCGTCCGCCATGCTCCGGTCCTCCAGGTCCCGCAGTGCCCCGCGCCAGAACACGCTGTCCACCATCCCCGAAGAGCTCCTCGAACGTATCCTTGCCCTCTGCATCGACACCCCGGAGCCGGCCTCCTCGTCCTACGTGTCCGGCCCCTCCGGAGCCCACCGCACCGCCCCCCTCCTCGTTTGCAAACGCTTCCTGCGCATCGCGACCCCCCTTATTTACCACACGCTCACGCTCCGCTCCCCGCGCCAGACCCACCGCCTCTGCCACACCCTCACCGCGAACCCCTTGCTCGGCAGCTTCGCGCGCAAACTCGTCGTGCAGAGCGCCGACGTTCACGATGTTTCCTACCACATCCTCGCCCTATGCAGGGGCATTGAAGAGTTGGACATATCCTTAGTCGATGGTGGCGTCGGGAACGCTGAGGCTGATGAAGCACATATCCGGCGCTTCAGCAAGGCGCTCGCGCGCCTCGATAGGATCAGATCGCTGACGCTCAGGAAGCCTGCCAGCACCTATCTCACGCACGACAGACCGAGGCTGCTGCTGGAAGCCTTAGCTGATGCCGTCAAGTTCTGGAGAAACCTCGTGAGTACATGTCTCGCACTCCATGCACGCCGGATCTGAGAACCGTTACTTTCGCTGCGGCATTTGTGCGTCTTCCCACTCGATTCTAGGAAGTTCTCACATTCGCGTTCCGCCTCTCGTCGACGCCCAGCACGGACTTGCTTGTCTCGTCTCTCTCTCGCGCTCCGAGACTGCACACCGTGCGCGCGGTGATGCCCACGGTGTACGTTTCGATCATATTAATCTCTGCGATCTCGATCACTCATACCATAACACAGGCTCAACGCATGCTTCATCACCCTCTCCACGAACCCTGCCCTGCGAAACATCGAGCTGATCACAGACGAAACGCCCTCCGGCGTCATCTTCGGCACGGGCAACGGGCTTTTTCTGAAGGAAGCGCGCAAGCATGAGCGACTCTGGACGTGCATCCGGCGCGGGACGTGCGTGCGCTCCCTTTCACAGAATCATACCTTCATCTCACCTTCACTTACAGACCCACCGTGCGCGCGAGGGCGAATACGTACTCGACCTCGCCGTCCCCGCCCGCGTCCTCGTCCTCCGGGCAGCAGATCAAGCCAACGCAGAGCATGGGTTCGCTCGCGCCGTCGAGCTACAACTACAGCCACAACCGCAGCGCGTACGGGCATCCTCCCGCCGCCCCGAGCTCGGGAAAAGGGCGGTGCCCGCCGCCGCCGCCGCCCGAGTCGGCGTCGGCGCAGTATGCTGCGGCCTACTACTACACCTCGTCTGGCGGGCACCAGGGGTACTACCAAGCCTACCCGGCGTCTTCGAGTTCGTCGGGGTACGCTAGGGAGGCGGGGTACCGTGCGTCGTCGAGCACGGTGAGCGCCGGCGGGCGGAGGGGCACGCGGTGAGACCATGGAAGAACGGCGGACCAACACTCGACTCGGGACAGCCGCTGGGTTCGGATTGTCTTGGTGTACATATCTGGGCGTGCTGCTCGTCCCCAACTGACGGGCGGTCGCCCAACCGCGTACATACATATCCCCCGGTAACTCGATACCCTTTGGCTTGTCTTGGGATCTTGGGTTGCTTGGATGGGAGGCATAACCGCATAGTCGTTCGCTCGCCCTTTTGTTTCTACTTGATTGCTCGTTCATCCTGTCATGAGCACGGTCTTGGATTTTCGTATGTTCTTGTAATGATTTATTCTTGTCTTTCTTGTATATGTTCTTGTAATTACGGCCACTTCCTCCCCTGCGTAACAATTGGAATGAATACTACCATTCCAGGCTCAACGGACTGTGTACCATACGATAGTAATTGATGTACAGTAATCATGTAATGATAACGTGTGGTGAAGCTTCTTGTGTGGGTCCAAGGCGGAAGAGAGGAGTTTTCGAATTCGGGGTATGCGATGTGTACGAGAGATGACGCTGACAGGGCATGACGGACATCAGAAGGGCCGGGATCGGTTACCCACCCTGAGCGGCCCTGGGTCCTCCGAGCGCAATGGGAATGTGCGAACATTCTCGTACAGCATTCTGATGGTCTCATATACACGAGGGACGATGGGGAAGAGGACGTACCCTTGTGAGCGGATTGTACAAAGGGACGGCCAGATTGGAGAGTGAGCGATACACACGAGCCCGAGCTTCTGACTTCTCGCGCTTTGGTTTGGGTGCGTGATATGGCAATGGGAAGCGGGCTTAGTATTAAAGGAACGCTCGAGGCAGGGGTTCTATCATAACTTCAAGTCCCGGACTGATGCGTTCTGCGTAGCGGTCATCTGGAAATGAAATGGCGAATTCGCAGGATGCGTGCTGCGTGCATAATACGTGCATAATCGGACTCTACGCCGATGTACTGATACCAACTATGTTCCAGAGAGAGCTGGTATTTTAGCACCGAGGCGTCTCACGCGAACGCGTGACTCCAGGCCGTCCTCGAGTTCCAGACGAGAGGTTATGCTAGACGCAAGGTCGAAAGGGAATGCGACGTATATTCTCAATTACGGGGTATTCGTAGAATGCTCGGCCTTGGGCACGATACCGGCACCCTTGATGGGAAATACATGATTCAGCCGATGAAACAAAGCTTCAGTTAAAAATGAGGTAGAGGAAGAGCCCGCTGAGGAACATGTCCTGAAGTTTTTGTCCGTATCTGACGTGAACACTGAAGCTATGCAAGCCGGCTGCTCTACATGCCCGCGATAGAGAGGATACGACGTTGAACTTTGACATCTGGAAGGGAAGCAGGCGTTTCAACTTAGACGTGGAGTCCATAGGAACCAACTAGGGACGGAGAAGTCGAGATACAAAGTTAGCTTCAAGTTTGAGCCAGTGCCGAAGAGTTCGGGTTGCAAAGGGGTCCCTAACCGGCGGGCCGAGCGTGCGTAGCATAGACCTGCATTCTGCGAGGAGATGGGAATGAGGGTGACTGGATGCACACTGCCAGTGAGAGGCTACAGCTGGAGGTTATTATAACAACGACCGACCAACGGTGAGGACGCCACCGTGGCAATTTATCTTTTGCCTTCCGAATTCCGCAACTTCGAGTTGTAGCCCGTCTTCTTCTGACGCACGCACACTCATTCTAGACAAGCTGGTCATCGGGGAGGGTGGTTGGAATTGGTCCACATCAATCATGCTATCTGGTAGCGCGACGTTTGAGACTCCAGTCTATATTCCGGTGAGTGGGTTATACAGTGTAGGAAGCACTCATCGGTAGTGCATAAGGCACTTGCCCTTGGTGTAAAAAGCACTCATCCCCCGTGTACAAGGCACTTGTCTGTGGTGTAGTCCGCAGTGTAAAAGGCACTTGCCCACGGTGTAGAAAGCACTTCTCCGTGGCATGTAACATCCTCGTCCTTAGTGTACAAGGACTTTGACCATTGTATAGAAAACACCTGTTCGTGGTGTGCAGTGTTCGCGTCCATGATGCACAAAGCACTGGTTTGTATTGTATAATGCACTTGTCCATGGTGTAGAAAGCACTTGTCCATGGTGTAGAAAGCACTTGTTCATGGTGTACATGGTACTTGTTGGAGGTGCACTCATCCGTGGTGTGTCAGACACTCTGCCATGGTGTGTAAGGCACTTGTCAGTAGTGCATTGTTACAGGCATTGCCACTCATTGGTAGTGGAAGATGCACAGAGACGCACCCCAAGGGGCATCGCCTGGAGAATTCCATGAACACGACTACCTCGACTGCCTCTGATCGACAGTCATGGGGTCCCGCTTGCATAATCACTTCTCATTGGTCAGGAGGTGCTCTTGCGGCAACCTTGGATTAGATAAACCAGGCTGTTTTCAATGATGAAGAGTTATGGAGGCAGCAGCACGCACAGTGCACCCAACACAACTCACCTGTATTGGTTGGATGCTGTAGCTACTGGTAAAGCTCATATGAACAACCCTTGTCATTAGGCAGCAGAGCTGCAGGGTTTATATACACAGTGGCCCATAGGCTGACTAAGCTATGTGGAATATCTATAATCCTACTGAGCTCCACCTATGATGTCACTGACCCACATGAGCTCCATGCCATTGTACAATAATGAGATATACCAGAATATTCCAGAGGGTTCTGGTATGTTCTGGTACATTGTACAGTGACTCACAAAAGTATGGAACCACCCTGGTTGGATGGGCTCCAATAGTTATATTTATTATTTGGGGACCTTGCAGATGTGTATAGGACTACTACTGTACTCTATATGGTCCAATCTACCTATGTGCAACATAGTTTTGAAGTGCGCTGATATGCCCCACTAGGTTCTGTTTGCGGAAGCAGCTCTGCCTTCACCTCTACTGTCCGTATAGCAGGTCCCTACCCCTCACTATCCATCACTCTTTATCCCCATTACAAGCTATCACCCTTCATTACTGGGTTCATATGGTCCATTCATTACTTGACTCATCCATCATTTGTTGGCCATGGACCATAGTTGCCAGTTCCTCATGCCTTTACCAAGTGTCGGACCACACTCCCTATACTCAACAGACTCAATATCTAGCCTTTTGGACCGCTCCATCAAACATAGGAGTTTACCCACTCCCCATACTACCCACCAGCCACACAACTACTCCTCCATTCGCTTCTGAAGAAGTCAGAGCCTGGTCTATGGTCTATTAGTTGACTCTAGAAGTCTCTACTTGGTCTCTAGTCCCTCTCCCTGTTCCTCCTGAGGAGGTATGAGTAAAGTTGCCGAAGTTCGGTTCACGACCCTCTGAACTGAGGTCGACCTCTGAACCGACCCTCCTGACCCAAACCTACATCGACCCGACCCTTAGGTTCA